AATTCCCCAGTCAACCCGGTTGACTGGGGAATTCTGGGAGTTGAAGTTCTTACATCTTAAAGTTCCCAAGGCTGGGAAACACTGCACCACAGGGAACAAGTTCATGGCATTCCAGCACCCAAAGGCTGATGGAATTACCATGTTTTAACAGCATTTCTGAAATCCAGAAGAAAAGGGACCATTTGGATATCTGGGGGGATGCTGTTTCAGAGTAGGGGGAAAACAATTAAGAAGGCTTACTTCCATGGGCCCTGGAGATGGCATTCCCTGAATGAAGTGACCAGAGCCCTGTTGCTCAGTTGGTCTGAGTTGCCATTTAGCTTTGTTGAGGAACCAATTAGCCAGGGGACAGGAGCTGGTCAGCGTTCAGAACATATCTTTAATTTCTTTCATATACACCACAGGTAGAAACATTAATGCAGGAATGGCACAAATATGAATAAGTAGCTTCTGAGGTGGATTAATTCTGTGATTTTTGGAGGATGATTGCTTGGTAGTGGTGGAGACAGGAGGTGAGCAAGGTCTGAGTGCTGTTCAAAAGGTAGCGCATTTTTGGTATCTATACCAAGCAAGCTGTGAGCCTCTTCCCTGTATATGTGTTGCTTAAATAAATGCCTTGAAGTATTTCATGGGCTGCCCACCCTTTCCCCAATCCACAAGTCAACTCTGGACATTTGGCAGTGCTTTCTGCACTCCCATCTTGTGTGCCTCCTCACTGCACACTTGCTTCCTGTTGTACGAAAACAGCTCTCCATGTCAAAATGCAACCTTCTCCTCAACAGTTGGCCTTTAGTTGTTTCTCTTCTCTTTGTAGATCAGCTTAGCCTGGAAAAGTCCCCCTCCCACTTGCAGGGCACCAAAGGTAGCAGAAGGACAGCATCGTGGAGCAATGAAGACTCTCTGCCTGCGGTTAGCTCTGCTGGCCTGCCTCATGGTGAAAGTCTACGGCAAGATCTTCAGTCGTTGTGAACTGGCAGCAATACTGCGACGCTGGGGAATGGATGGGCACGAGGGCTACGGCTTGGATGACTGTGAGTAGCCCCCATGGAGTGTCCTGACTGCTGTTTTTCAGACTAATGTTCACAGCTTTCTATCTGGAAAACACTGAAAACAAAGGGTGGCAACACACACACACACACACACACACACACACCCCTTGGCTTTGCTGAACCTGGCAGGGCTTGCTCATAATACGAGTTTTAGAACAGACTGAAGAAAGCTTGAGGCAGAAATTTAAATGGCTCTGAAGCCTGCATTCTTTCAGCTCTTTTCAGGTGCTGTGCCTGATTGTGGAATTTCTTCATGCATTCGCACTGTACAGGAGTCAGGTAGTGCAGCTTGCTGGCCAAAAGAGCGAGGGATGAATCAGGTTGGCTCCAGTTGGGATGTTCTCTCTGCCATGAACTCTCTCAAGAGCCTTTGAACAGAACAAATGTTATTATGGTCAGTGACCAGTGCAAAAAGAGAGAGACAGAGAGACAGAGAATACAGCAAACATCCATGTACATATAGTTTGTTGATCTTCGGTTTGTTTCTCTGTTTGTTGATCTTAAAATGTGCTAATGCACCAAATTCTTTTAGTTTCCCATTAGTATTTCAATTCCCTTTAAGGATCTTCCAAAACCAACAGCACGTCATCTGTAAAAGCCCTTAACTTATACGTTTCTTTTTAAATTTTTATTCACACAATTCTTGTCTTATATCTCTATTCAGTATTTCAAGAACCAAAATAAACAAGAGAGGAGACAGTGGGCATCCCTGTCTTGTTCCTTTTTGTATCTCAAGAGGCTTTGTTCATTCTCCATTAAAGTTCTCCATTAACAATTATTTGTGGTTTCTGTGAAGTATAAATCGATCTTACCCATTTTATAAAGTTCTCTCCAATGTTAAAACCTTCCAAAACTTTGAACAGGAAAGTCCAGTTCAAATTGTCAAAGGGCTCCTCTGCATCTAAGAAATCAATGTGGCTTGTTTTTGATTGTGCTGCTCCAAATATTCCAAAATGTCCAACACATTTCTAAGATTGTCCTTTAACTCTCTTTTAGGCAAAAACCCACATTGATCCTCATGAATAAATTCTTGCAAAATTATTTTCAGTCTATCAGCCAGAATCGTTGTAAACAACTTGTAGTCATTCTTCAATAATGATATCGGCCTATAGTTTCTTGTTAAAGTCAAATCTTGTCCCTCTTTAGGTATTAGTGTTATATTGGCCTCTTTCCAACTCTGGCATCTTTCCTCCCTGCAAGAGGAGGAGTTCATCATGTTTTGTAAAGGTTGTAAAAGTTCATCCTCAAAATATTTATAACAAGAACCTGATAATCCATCTGGTCTGGGCACCGTTCCTGGTTTAATTTTTTTTATAGCTTCAGAAACTTCCCTTATTGTTATAGGTCCATTCATAAAAGTTCATCCTCAAAATATTTATAACAAGAACCTGATAATCCATCTGGTCTGGGCACCGTTCCTGGTTTAATTTTTTTTATAGCTTCAGAAACTTCCCTTATTGTTATAGGTCCATTCATAAAAGTTCATCCTCAAAATATTTATAACAAGAACCTGATAATCCATCTGGTCTGGGCACCGTTCCTGGTTTAATTTTTTTTATAGCTTCAGAAACTTCCCTTATTGTTATAGGTCCATTCATAAATGCTTTTTGCATGGCCATGCTATCCATTAATACAGTATCTCCCTCTTGTAGTTTCAGTATCATTTTCTTTTCTTTTTCTTTTCACAATTTATATGCCAACCATTTTCCTGGCTTGTTTGCAAACTCAACGTTTTTTTTGCTTTATATAGTTCATTTTTATTTCCATTTCTCTTACTGTTAAGATAGGTAACTGTTATTGTAAAAGTTTAATTTGATGAGTAATACTTATCTTCCCTGGAAATTTCTTTAATTCTTCTTTTCTCTTTTCCAGAATGGCTTGTGTTTCCTCTTGCCTCTTCTTTTTGAGTTCACTATTATGTTATATGGAATAACCTCTGATAAAAGCTTTACTTGCATCCCAAACCATTCTTAAATCAGTACTTTTGTCTAAATTATTTTCAAAAAATTATTTTAACTTCTTTTTACAATCCTCCACTATTGCTTCTTTCTGTAACAACGTTCCATTTAGTCTCCATCTAAAAGAACTGGATTTCCTTTTATAAATCAAATTCACAGGATTATGATCTGAAAAAATCTTTAGTAATATCTCTACTTTAGAAACCGTAGTAACCAAATTCTTCGAAACCCATATCACATCTATTCTTGAAAAGGATCTATGTCTTTCAGAAAAGTTGGTGTATTCTCTCGAATTGCCATTTTTCTGTCTCCATATATCAACCAGCCCTAAATTGGCCATCAAATCAAAGAAAACTTTTGGTAATTTGCCTTGAGTAATTTTACAATTTTTCTCTAATATATTTTTAATTTACATATAGTTAGTATAGTCAATACAGGCTACATCCTAGATCTCATTCCTTGAGGTGAATAGATAATGAGTGTATTTTAATATATATGCCTGCTATTATAAGTGTTAACATTCTAAGTATGACTATGCTTGTTTTATAAACCTATGTCTTTGTATTGGTCTATTACTGCAATAAAGATTGATTGAATGAATGAATGAAAAACTATTTTTCTCAGAAGTTCTATCCAGTTGTGGGGAGATCACTCCATTCCAATCCCCCATCAAACACCAATTTTCATAAGAGAAATCTATTACTCTCTCCATAAGTCCTTTATGGAATACTTTAGCCTCATTTGGGGCATAAATTCCCAATATCAGGGTCTTAGTCCCATGCAGATTAACTTCCACCCCACCTGCCATGGTCATCAGTCAATACAAGTTCTGGTTTTAGTTGGGGATTTATATACAAAACAATTCAATTTTTTTTTTTTTAGTTCCTGCTGAGATAAATTCTTCACCCAAATTTTTATAAATCGAATATTTTATGTCCTTTTTTCTAGTATGTGTCTCTTGTAGGCAAATTATATCCTGTTTTAATTTTTTCAAATAATGATTTTTTTCCGCTTTTGAGGAGTATTTGCTCCATTTATATTTATATTCTATGTTAAGCATTTGTAATCCATAATCAAGCCAAAAATTTAGAAAAATTGATACCTGTAGTGCCTAGTTCAGTATCACCCCTTTCAGTTTCCTGTTGCACCTGTTGAAGTTTTTGTGTAGTCTCATTTGACACCTCCATTTGAAACTCCTCCAATTCCTCTTTAAATTTTTCTAGAAATTCCCTCGCCTTATGGACAGAATTCAGCCAAAAACTCTGCTGTTTAAAAGTAAAAATCACACTTTCCAATTTATCCCTTTGAAATGGAATCTTTTTCTGTTTTGATCTATCAGTCAAAACAAAATACTCTTTTCTCTTATGTAAGATTCTAATAGGAATTTCTTTAAGAACAATTACATCTGATCTGTAATCAGTCTTGTATTAAAATGCTGCTGCAAAACTTGATATCTTCTCTTCTTCCACAAAGTGCACCAAGACATTCATTGGAACATTTCTTATTCTTGCAAATCTTGCATTTATTCTATATACCCTATCAGTTTCTGCCTCTGTATCCTCCTCATCTTAATTGAAAAAATTTACTAAAGTGTTAATAACCTTTTCTCTAATGTCTTCACCAGAATTCTCTGGGATTGCTCTAAGTCTCAAACAAAATTCTTTCTCTGTTAGTTCCAGCAGTGCCGAATTATCTAATTCACTTTCCAGCTCTCTGTCTATAACTTCTGTCTTACTCTCCAAAATTTCCACTTCGTCATTAATTTGTTTTACATCTCCAGACACTTGTTTTACAGAGCTTTCCATAGTTTTGACTTCTTTCATCTTCTCTTCTATCTTTATAAGTCTTTCATCAATTCTTTTTTCAAAAGCTGTCAATTTAGTATCCAGTGATTTAATTAATTTAGTATCAAGTGATTCAGCTAACTTATTACCCAATTCCTCAAACATTTTCTGAAGTAAATCTGGTGTAATTTCTCTCTTTGCAGGTTGCTTTAGCAATCCTCCCCTCCTCTCTGCGATTTTTACCACTTTTCTGGTGGTTGCCATTGTAATACTGTAATCCATAAGTGAAAGTGTTTCAGTTGCAAGGGAAAGAGTAACATGCAAGCTTCCCCCTTTTTTCCCTGTTTTGTCTTCCTGTGCCCTTAATACTTTCGTCTCAAATGGCACTCCATAGTTACAGTCAGCATCACAGTCTGGCTCATATTACCTTTATCTTTTGTTTTGTAAAATCCACCAATTGTCTGTTCTCTTTAATAGTAAACAAAAAGCATTCCCATGAAAGTCCAGTTCAATTGTCTGTTTTAATTCCAATGTATTCAAAAGCACTTTCACCAAAAAAAAAATCTTTCAGAATAATTATTTCCTTTATCTGTTTTAAACTTTCTCACATCCACTCCTTTTTAAGCTTTTTGCCAAAATTTTTTAAATCTTTAAAACCTTTTTTTCCCTTTTTAGTCCAGAAAGAATGTTGACTCACCAAGTGGAATTCTCTTATCTTGCTGCTCAGAAAATATCTCTTTAGCTGTAAATTAATTACATCCAAAAGTGTTTAAGAAAGTGAGGCTTGTGCGAACCTTGCGTCCATATAGGCTGCATTATGACTGTGAGCTTAGTTGAAATCCCTTGACTCCCAGCTGTTCAACTCATGAGTCAACCAAAAAACCTCAGTTCCTGCAGTCTACTCATGAGGAGCAGCTGTCTGGAGTGCAACTGGGTGATCTCACAATCTCTCCTTTATCTGGAAAGACAGCGCTGGCCAGAATTCACCGTCTGGCTGCTGATCTCCACTGCAATGTTGTCCCTGCTCCTTCAGGGATGTCTAGTCTGCCATAGATCCTCACCTAAAAGCCAAGATGGTATAGGAGAAGCAGCTCTTCATCTAAACTCTTCATGCTTTTCTAGACCATTAGAATAATAATTAGGATTCAGATCTCTTAACTCATTTAACTCATTTTATCCTCATCTGGCAGTTATATTGTTTGATATTTTAGTTTTTAAAGTTTTGTTGAGTTTTATTGAGTTTTATTAAGTATCAGAAGTGAGGGAAAAGGAATACTAACATGCCTGGCAGGAATAAGAATAGCAATGTAACAAAGGCAGCCACAAAGAGCTGAATCAAGCTGCAGTTACAGTTTTAAGGTGAGACAAATTAAGGAAAGCATTTAGTAGAGGTCCCTGGGTTGGTTGTCCTACTGAGCATCACCTTTTGGTGCAAAAATCAACTGTCAGTTGCTCTCCTTAACAATTGTGGGGCCAGACTGAATGAATGTAGGTCAGCGCCTGGGATGGTGGATTTAGCCATCTTTCCCATTGGCCAAATCACAGGTTGCAAGTGCAGGGATACTCCGTGGCTATGCCCTATAATTCTGGCTACTTCTAGACATGGGTCTAGAGCTTTTATGAAAAACCGCCAAGCTTTTTGAAAGAATACTAGACCTATCCTCAGAAACAGCCTGGCGGATAGATCACAGGAACAAAGGAGGGATTATGAGGACGATTGTGGGGGCTCCTTGCCACTTCACCTAATGTCCTCCACCATGACTACCATCATTCATTCATTCATTCATTCATTCATTCATTCATTCATTCATTGTTTGCTGCCCATCCTAAACATATGACTCTAGGCAGCTAACAGAGAATAAAAACAAGATAAAAACATCATAAAAAACAATATCAACTCTTTATAATTTCTTTGTAGTGATTCCCCTTCCCCCAAAATAGCATGTTCTTTCAGCTGACAGCTCCTACATTGTTGTGACAGAAAACTGGTCCCTTTCATGTGTGCTTGTAATCAAATGTCTACACTTAACCTGTGGTCTGCTGCAAGTGACTGGCAATTTTGGCAGTGAGTGATCAAAGAGGCTAGTTGTGACCTGGAGTATGCAATGGTGTGGGGAGAGGAGGAAAAACTCTACTTTCAAACTATAACCACTAAATCTCACTGTAGTCTCTGCTGTGGCCTGGGGATGAGGCAAAGGCAACATCATGAAGACATTTCCTTTAAAAACATCTTAATCCTATGGTTAGAGAGATATAAGGATGACTCTGAGTGCCCTGGGATCACCCTTCAGATGTTTGAAATATGGGAGCAAAAGATGCTCTCAAGTCAAGCTGAACTCTTAAAACTCATTCATGCAATTTTCTTGGCAATGTTACTCAGAGGCATGGGAGGGGAGAAGGAGGCAGATGAAATGAATGTTGCTCTTCCATGATGCAAGCTCTACCCTTTTTGTACATGGGCTGTAATGCTGCAAACATGTAAGATAGGGGTGCAGCTTGCATTGTGTCATTGTAGTGCTCATTTTGCCATTTCGACAAAATGGATTTATTGGTCATCTCTGGAATTACAGAAGTAGTTTGCCCCTGCCTTTTGCTGTGATTTTTGTTTATTTGCCAGTCTAGCTGAGAGTCTAGGAATTCTCAGGCAGTCCACCATCCAAGTGTTAACCAGAGCTAACCCTTTTTAGCTTCTGAGACCAGCCAAAGGCAGTTTCTGGCAAAGGCCTGAAAATCAAAGATAAGCAAAAATTATGTTGTGTGTAGGGTAGGATTCTTTGTCACTTCCTCTCCTCTAAAATTCTTTTTTGCTGGCCTATTCACCTATTCACATATCCCTAGTCTTTTTCTTTAAAACAAAAGTGAGAAAGAGCTAAAATTTAAGGCGATGATGCTTGAAAATAATTATTTCAGGTTGAAGATGATGCTTTCTCTTCAGTCACGGAGAGTAGGAACTATATTTACTTAGTATTTAGTTACAAAAAGATTATATTCACTAAAAAAAACCCTCGTAAAATGAATAATTATGGTAGGATGCCGAATTCTTTCCTGTGAGTGAGATTACGTTACATAATTAATCGGAGAGCGTGAAGAATATATACCGCTAATCGTTAGGTCCCTTTCCAAATTGATCTTCCAGCCTACTTTCTACATTCTACTACAAGCATACAAGCACGCACACGTCTACACCCACGTGCCACCAGCACGGCTGCCATTCAGTGCGCGGCTGCCATTCAGACCTTAGGTAAACTGGATTCAGCATGTAGCGCTAATAATCTGCCTGCAGAAACAACCGTCTTATTTCTGGCAGGATCTTATTTCTCACCGGCTTCTTTTCTGAACAAAACTTCTACACAGATGTGAATCTGCACATCCCTTTCTCCCTACAGGGATCTGCTTGGCATATTTTGCGAGCCATTTCAACACAGCTGCTGTGACCCAGAACTCAGATGGGACTTCTGAGTATGGCATTTTCCAGCTCAACAGTCGCTTTTGGTGTGCCGACCACCACAGCAGTTCGAAGAACTTATGTAGTTTGTCTTGTCGTGGTAAGTGTCCCTCCCAAAATGCACATGTTAAAGTCCAACGTATAGAGAGAGCGGGGTAGGTCTAGGTCTGGGTTTCTTTCAATTTCTCATTTTTGTCAGTCTGTCAAGGCTATTTATTGAACATGTTTGCTTTTTTAAAAAAGTTCACATAAATGTTGCATGTTATTTCCTGTGTACCTTCCTTTCAGTCTATGCATTTTGGTACAGTTTTCAGTATAAAGCACTTTTGTACACCCCCCCTCCATATGATTGATGACCTGCATTGCAAAATTTAGAAAAGTGCAAGTGAACATTTGAATTGTATAGTAATCTTTTTTTTAAAAAATTATTTATTAAAGCAATTTATATGGCCACCCAACTCACTCACGGTGACTCCGGGCGGCTAACAGAAATAAAACCCCAGATACAAACCCGCTACACCCCCACCCCCCTGGCGACAACAATCCATTCAAACAAACTACTCGATGGGCTCCGTATCAACCTGGGATCCCCAGGCCCACTGGGAAAATCATGTTTTCAGGGCCTAGTTGGAAGTCATAAAACTGGATAAGTAGGCATTCAAATGCAAAATCAACCAATTTCTCCTCCATTCCGAGCTTTGCGGTAGAAATGGCGAGCCCGCAGGCAGGCCTGACAAATCAGTGATAGACGTGCAATTGCTTAGGCTCCTTATATACGCAAATCAAACACCCTGTATTCATGACTTTAGTGCATTTTTTAGAGTGCTAGACCTGGCCTGTTTTAGTGCTAAATCTGTATTTAAAAAATAGGACTAGGGCTTTCTGGATGTAGTCGTATGCTGCAGAGAAGGTCTTTTTAAACGGTGAAAGAGGGTCATGTTTTGCCAGCCGGGTGCTACGGTTCTGTCATTTATGAGTCCATTTCAGGTTTCCTACTGCTTCTGCTGGCGAGGGGTTTCATGTAGCCATATTCTTCCTTTTTAATGCTTTGGTGGAGAAAGTTGTGCTATTTTGCTTACCCTGCAGGCTACCCACTAGTGTTGCCAATCATGGCCACTCACCACTGGCAGGGGTGCAAGGTGGAGCGGGAGGGAGCTCCACCAGTTTTTTTTGTTGACACAAAGCCTGGATTTTAACATGCTAACATGGCTATAAGAATCTAAATCTCCTGGCAATTGGTTGGAATCAGCCAGCAAAACCTGCAGTAGCTGCAGTCGGTATAGCTTATAGACTGTGCAGGAGAAATTTCTCTCATTAATTTCCCCTAAGAGTCAGTTTAAACCAGAAACCAGTGCACAATTCTGTTGAAGCACAGATTGTTTATTATGGCACCCGAAACAGCAGAAGCAAAAAGAAGGCAGGGATCCAACCCCTCCATATAGAATTATGTAAATTAGAATATATATCTGACTGCATATGGTAAGATTGAATATAATTAGAGGTGGTTGTTGTTCAGTTGTTAAGTCGTGTCCGACTCTTTGTGACCCCATGAACCC